GCGCGCGAGCGCGCGCTGCCGGCCGCGCGACGGTGCTCGCGCCTCAATCCTCGCGCTTGCGCTTCGGCGTGCGCGGCTGCTCTGTGCCCCGCGCTGCGTCGTGCTTGCCTTTGCCCTTCGCGTGGGCCCGCGATTCCCAGGACTTGCCCCAGCTCTTGGGCTCCCAGGACTTGCCCCAGCCCTTGTCGCTCTCGGCATGCTGGGACTTGCCCTTGCCTTTCCCCTTGAACTCCGCATGGGGAGCGCCCTTGCTGCTGCCCTTCTGCTGCCGATCGGAGAGGTTCGAGCCGTGTACTCGCGCTCGGCGCGTATGTACAGGCTCTGCTCTTGTTGCAGCGCGTCGCGGTTGACGTTAAAGGAGCTGGAGCCACTGGCGCGATCGGCCCACTCCCGCCTGGCCAGCTCGTCATAGATGACCGCCAGGGCTGTGGACTTGTGCACCCCGCGCGCCTGCCCGCAACGCGCGCGGGCGGCGGCCGGCTTCGGCCGCGAGACCAGGGAAGGGAGTTCGTCTGCAGTGCGATCTGCATGACGACGTCCTTGTGCGCCATCGCGGCGGCCAGTTCAGTCTGGCCCGCGAAGCTCGCGGCCAGGGCCCACCGGTCGAATGCGACCGACCAGGGCATGAGCGACAGCCCTCGCGAGGCGGCGGCTCCGCCCAGAATGCGCGCGCCGAAAGAGCGCGCCTTCTTTGTTCGCGTCCGCGCCGTCCTGACCGCCGCGCTTCTCCACCGCCCAGTGTGGCAACCACTTCTTCAAATCGCTGTGAATGAACGGTTTCGCGATCCCCTTCGCTTGGGCCGCTTCGACCTGCGCCGCTCCGAAACGCCGCGTGCGAACGCTGAGCGATACACCGCGCGCGCGTGGGCGCCTGGCTGTCGAGCCAGTCGCACGACGCCGGCGACGGCCAGCAAGCAGACGGCAAATCGCTGAGGCGGACGTCGCCCAGCTTCGCGCCGATGTCGACGTGCGCGGCCGCAGTCGGCTTGCGCGCGAGTGCGTCCACTAGCGCAGCGACAGGGTCATTCGACCCCTGCGCCGCCCCGTCGTCGCCGCGGGCGGCGGCCATGCGCCCCGCCTCGGCCCTGGCGGCGTTCTCTGCGGCACGCTTGACGGCACGGTCGAGGAAGGCTACCTTCCCACCGTTGAGGCCGCCCTTGCCGAACGAACTCTCATGAATGTTGAGCCCGACTAGGTCTTGTTCAACCTGGCACGCGCTGTGCGCGACAGACGGACCGAGAAAGCGCGTGGCGCTCGCCGTGACAGAATTCGCGCGAAGTGCTGCAATGACGTCGCGGAGGTATTCCTCGTCGCGCTTTGCGCGCGCGTCGACGCCATACAGAAAAGCTTGCAAATCCGCCATGGGTGCGAGCGGGCGCCGCCTGTTAACGCGCATGACGCGCTCGTGCGCACTCTGTCCGCGCTCGGCTGCAGCTCGCGCGCCGAAGCCGACCACGTACACGCGGGCCTCGTTTGGCCACCTAAATGACGCACGCTAAGCGTGCACGGAGGGGGGCGTAGACGTCGAATCGCGTCGGAATAGCCCCCGCTCGGAAGTTCGCTCGCGCGCCACACGTGCGGCGTAGACGTCGAATTGCGTCTTAATCTGACCTCGTTCGGTCGGTCGCTCGCTATCCTCGTTCTGATGCGGCGTAGACGTCGGATTGCGTCTAATCGGACCTAGTTCGGTCGTTCGCTCGCTATCCTCGTTCGGATGCGGCGTAGACGTCGAATTGCGTTTTAGTTTGACCTCGTTCGGTCGTTCGCTCGCTATCCTCGTTCGGATGCAGCGTAGACGTCGAATTGCGTCTGATCGGACCTTGTTCGGTCGTTCGCTCGCTATCCTCGTCGGATGCGTCGCAGCGGCCGCGCGCGGGGGCGCGCGGGCCTGCCCACATCGCCTGCGGCGCGCCGCGGCGCGCGCGAGCCAAGCGGCGGCGCGGCGACTGCTCGCGCCTGCGTCCGCCGCGTGCGCCTGGGGCCAGCGAGTGTGTGCGATGGAACCAGGGGCCGAACTCGTTCCATACACAAGAGGCCCCAAGGGGCCGCCAAGAATCCTCCAAAGAGGACCCAGGAGGCTCCCAAGAAGCCCAAACGAGGCCCCAACAGAGGCCCCAACAGCTTCCAAAATTGCCCCAAAGAGGCCTCGAGCCCGCCTCCGAGCTTCCTCGCCGCGAGGGTGCCAGCACGGCCCCAGACGGGCCCAGGACGGCCCAAGGCGCGCTCAAGACGGCCCAAGACGATTCCAAGACGGTCCCAGGAGGGTGCGCCCAGGACGGCCCAAGGACGCGCCCGGTCGGGGCTTCAAGACGGGCCAAGATGGCAAGAGAGCCCCAGTTGGCAAACATCGTTAATTTTCCATTGTTTACTGTTACACCCTTTGCGTTTCCCGCCGTTTCGGCAGTCCGATGCACCAAGAGGCCCCAGAAACTCCCAGGAGGGTCAGAGGAAACGCCCAGGAAGGCCCCAAGACGGGCCAAGACGGTCCCAGAACAACCAAGGCGCGCTGCGACGGCTCAAGACGGCTCCAAGACAGCCCCAAGAGGGTGCCAACACGGCCCCTGCTGGGCCCAGGACGGCCCAAGGAGGCGCACAGGAGGGGCCCAAGACGACTCCAAGGCGGCCCCCTCACGGTCCCAGGGCCCAGGAGGCCTCCACGACGGCCCCAGAGACGCTCAAGAGGCGTCCCAGGATGGCCCCCACAGGCCCAAATCATTGCTTTCCCAACGAAAGCGTCAAATTTTAGCACGCACGGCTTGTCGGGAGTATGGCGCAGAAGATGGAACAAGAGGTCCCCACGACCGCCCCAAGACGGCCCAAGAGGCCCCCCAGAGGCACGAAAACCGGCCCGCGAGAGCGTCAAGATACCCAAGAGGCGCCCAACACGGCCCCAGGCGGCCCCAAGAGGCTCCCAGGAGGCGCCCAGGACGGCCCCACACACCCCCAAGACGGCCCAAGAGCGTTCCAAGAGAGCCCAAGACCGCCGAAAACACACCCAAGATGGCCCAGGAGGCCTCCACGACGGCCCCAGAGACGCCCAAGAGGCGTCCAAGGATGGCCCCCAGAGGCGAAAATCAGGGTTTTCCCAACGAAAAAACGTCAAATTTTAGCACGCACTGCTTGTCGGGAGTATGGCGCAGAAGATGGAACAAGAGGTCCCCACGACCGCCGCAAGACGGCCCAAGAGGCCCCCCAGAGGCACGAAAACCGGCCCGCGAGAGCGTCAAGATACCCAAGAGGCGCCCAACACGGCCCCCAGGCGGCCCCAAGAGGCTCCCAGGAGGCGCCCAGGACGGCCCCACACACACCCAAGACGACCCAAGAGCGCTCCAAGAGAGCCCAAGACCGCCGAAAACACACCCAAAACGGCCCAGGAGGCCTCCACGACGGCCCCAGAGACGCCCAAGAGGCGTCCAAGGATGGCCCCCAGAGGCGAAAATCATTGTTTTCCCGAAGAAAAACGCTCACTTCCAGCATGCGCTGCTTGACGGGAATATGGCGCAGAGCTGGTTCCAGGTCCCCACGACCGCCCCAAGACGGCCCAAGAGGCCCCCAAGACGCACGAAAACCGGCCCGAGAGGGCGTCAAGAGAGCCCAAGAGGCGCCCACAACGGCCCCAGGGTGACACCAAGAGGCTCCCAGGACGGCCCAAGGTATCCCATTTGTTCGGCACCCCTTACGGAGATCCTGGCCCCCGAGCGTCACAGATCGAGCCCTCCGCCCAAAGACGCGCCGAAGTGGCCATAAGAGGCTCCAAGCAGCGCCCAAAAGGCCCCCAACAAGGCCCAAGAGGCCTCCAAGAGCCTCCCACAGTCCTCCGAAGCATGCCCCCAGATGCCAAAATCTTTAATTTTTCAATGGTGTTTGAAGGAGTTTTGCCTTCTCGCCTTCTCGGCTAGCCGACGCTCCAAGACGGCCGCAGAGACCCACGAGACCGCCCCAGGACGGCCCAACAGGCCTCCAAGCGCGTCCCCAGACGGCCCAGTGAGCCCCAAGATGGCCCAAGAGGCCCAAGCCAGGGCCAAGAGGGGGCCAAAGAACAGAGAAAAACCATGGCATTCCGAGCCCTGGGCCCCCATACGCCCACACAAGGCCCCAAGAGCGCCCGAAGACGCCCCGGGGAGGGCCCCCAAACGGCCCGAGTGCCCCGGGATGGCTCCAGAGGCGCCCGAGACGGCTTCAGAGACACCCAAGACAACCCGAAGAGCGCCCAACAACGGCCCAAGATGGCCCCAAGACGGCCCCAAGATGGCCCCAGAGGCGCCCAAGACGGCCCGACAGGGCCCTAAGACGGCCCAAGAGGCACTCCAGATAGCCCAAGAGGGCCCCGAGAGACCCCCAGGAGGACGAAAAACGGCCCCCAAACGGCCCCCAAGAGGCCTTGACTGCTTCCTGTTGAGGAGCGTCGAACTTCCAGCATCGTCTTGGGGACTTTTTGGACCCTCTGGGAGCCATCTCTAGGCTTTTTGGGGACGTTTGGGGGCGGTGCGCTCGAACGGTCGCTTCGTGTCCTCGCATTGAGGCCCGTCTTGGGGAGTTCGTGGGGCCCTCTTGGGCCGTCTTGGAAGCCTCTTGGCCCGTCCCGGAGACTTCTTGGGCCGTCTCGGCGCCTTCTTGCAGGCCTATTAGGCCGCGCCCACCAGTCCCACTCTCACCGCACTACCAGATAAAATTATCATTCGGCCCTGGCGAAGAGCAGATACAATTATCACGGCGACCCGCCCCGCAAAAACTATTACGAACACAGAGCGCGGCGTGAGAAACAGCTACATCATGTCGTGCATGGGTGTGCGTCCATTGATACCGCCTCCACCATCGCGTTCCTGCCTTCAGGCCTGCCTGCCTGCATCCCTCGCCTACCTCGCCCTCCAGCGGCCACATCCTCCATCCATGCCGTCCCCTCCAACCCCCCCCCCCGCGAGGCCCCCGAGACGCTCCACTTCCACGTCCACGCCATGGCGGGCATATTCCGCGGCCGGAAGGCCGCGGGTCAGCCCTAGTCAGCTACAGTGCTGGGATCAGCGCGTGCGGGAAGGGCGTGCAGTGGCAGCGGGCGCTGGCGCTGCTGATCGAGATGTGGGAGGCAAAGCTGGGACCCAACGTCATCAGCTATAGTGCTGGGATAAGTGCGTGCGAGAAGGGCAAGCAGTGGCAGCTGGCCCTGGCGCTGCTGAGCGAGATGCGGGAGGTGAAGTTGGAGCGAAACAGCATCAGCTGCAATGCTGGGATCAGCGCGCTCGAAAAAGGCAGCCAGTGGCAGCAGGCCTTGTCGCTGTTGAGCGAGATGCGGGAGGCGAAATTGGAGCCCAGCGCCATCAGCTACGTGGCTGGGATCCGTGCGTGCGAGAGGGGCGAGGAGTGGGACCAGGCTTTGTTGCTACTCTGTGAGGCGAGGCAGGGAAAGGTGAAATTAGATATTCTCCACTACGACGCTGCAATCAGGGCGTGTGGGACATGTAAGAAGTGGCAAGTTTCGCTGTCACTGTTCAGAGAAATGCAGCAACAGAAGATGAAACCTGACCAGTACAGTTTAGCGGGTGCTACCATAGCGTGCGGTCGCCAGGGAGAGTGGCAACAAGCGTTGTCGGTTGCACTGGAGCTGTGGCAGTCCAAACTGGAACCAGACACTTTCAGTCTCAGTGCAACTATCAAGTTTCTTGTGCAGGGCATTTCCCGCCAAAAGACAACCTAACGAGTTTTAATAAAAGAATCAGCGAAGCCAGGTCCACGAAATTGGTCTGGGTGTACCATACCCGAAATCTACGTACATAGATGTAAATAGGCTCATCTCAAGCAGGCACAATCGGGTTTATATTTTGCCCCCGAAGAGATGTGGGCGATCGCGACTGTCGACAATCTGCCTAGACTGCTTGGTGGTTGCGGTACGCGGGCAGTCGGAATGGTGTCGCTTCGATATATCAGGTTTGGTATCTACGTCATTGGCCAGAATTGCTGATCCCATTCGTTTTGCCAGGGTGCAGTGTCAATGCTGTACACAGGTCCCGTAGTTGTTCACGGCCATGCATGAAGCTGAACGGGCAAGATGATTTGCTTGCGTCCTTCAATGGAGTCTGTTGCGTTTCTGGCACGCTTGGTCCGACCAGCATTGGCCTGGAGACGTGCCGAACGATATCAATGCCAATTGAATGATGGGCTCGAGAGGGTGCAAAAGATGTTGCTGTATCTGTTGCGTGTGCGCCAGAACTTGAACCTTCAGTGGATAGGTGAATCGACGATGAGATAGCAAAGGTGGTCAGACAGATGGATGGGTATGGGACGGCACTGTGTCTGGACTCCTTGCGACGTGCACCATGATGGTTGTGACTGGCCTGCATCGGGCAACGAGCTGCACGACGAGGAGCGGATAGGTGTTTCAGAGCAAGCCCGGAAATTTTGAGGTGGGCGGAATGAGTTCACCGACGTGCGAAAAAAAAGGAATGAGCATCAATTTATGGAGGCCTGCGCGGATCTTCGACATGTTGCGTGTCGGGGGTCTGGGATCCCAGACCTCCTGGCGTCGTGAAAAAAACACGATGGGAGTTTTTTCGCTATTTTCCGCCCCCGGGGGCCCTCACCGGGCCTCGGGAGCGTCAAACAACGACTCAGGACGAAGAACTGGTCCTGGGGAAGGGGTCCAGACCTCTGGGGGTCGACGTTGCGAAAAAATCACGACGTCGGGGGTCTGGGATTGGCGCGTCAGGTGCCGGCGTGAGGTCGCGCGCCCGTGCCCTCGTCTCCACTGCGGCTTGCCGCGCCGGGGGCCCGCGCAAGCCGCGGCGGGTGGTCGCCGAGCCCTCGCGCGCAGGGCCTTTTTCCTCTCCGTCGCTCGCATGTCGCGCGCAGCGCTTGTGGCCGAGGCCATTCGTCGTGAGTTTTGCTGTCGCGGCGCGAGGAGGCGGGGGCCTCCGAGGGGGCGGGCGGGGCTGTGCGAGGGGCCGCCAGGCAGAGCAGAGGCAGGGGGCTGAAGGGAGCGAGCGAGTGGGGTCTGCTTGGAGGCCCCTCTGCAGGGGGGAAAGGCATGGCCATGGCGTGGAGGAGGAGGAGGAGGAGGAGGAGGAGGAGGAGGAGGAGGAGGACGAACACCGGAGGCGCAGACGGGGACGGGAGGACAGAAATGGGGCCGGGGAGCTCTGCCCCCCTTCCACCCCCCCCCCCACCAAGGAGGGGGGCAGCGGACGGCGGGCGGAGGGCGGGCAGTGGCGGCGAGGCAGCCCCCCCCTTCTGCTCGGCCCTCCCACGCGCCCGAGCTCCCTCTCCCCCCCGCCCCCCCCCCCCCCCCCCCCTGCTGGCGCCGCGCAGGCGGCGCGCCCGTCGCAGGGGGCGGCCCCCCCGCTCGCCCTCCGCCCCCGCGCCCCGCCGCCCCCGCCGGCGCAGGCGGCCCCAAGGGCTGCGGCGGTTGCGACGCCAAGGGGTCGTGCGGGGCCCCGGGCAAGGGCGGCTGCGGCGGCGCGGAGTGGGGCCCGGGCGGCGCCGGGTGGGGAGGCGAGGGGCTTCGACGGCTGCGGCAAGGCAGGCCGCGTGGAAGAGCGGCCCTCTCTGCCGGAGTGGCCGCTGCTGCGGCCCCACGGGGTCCCCCCCCCCCCCCGCCCCCGCGCGGGGCCTGCGCGCTTCCCGCGGGCCCCCCAAGGGCGCGCAACAGCGGCCACTCCTGCCTGGGGCCACCAGAGCCCAGACATCCGACGAGGTTTTCGATGTCGGCATGCCACCCCATGAGGTCCCGGCCTCCTTGCCAGGGTCCTTTCTTGATGGCCATGGGGCTCGAAGGCAGTCTCCAGGCGCCGGAGTCAGGGAGAAGTGCCACGGGTTGGACAGAAACATATTGCCGGATGTCTGGGCCACCCTGACTACGGATCAGCCGTATTGTGGTCGATTTCGCACGCAGGGCGGAAAGTTCCGCCCTGCTTTTCAAGATCCTCTGATGCCGATTTCAGCCTCATTCTTTGCCGCCGCTGTTTCCGCCGTACGCTTGCGGAAGCACCCGCCCTACTTTTCTGAGGCGGGGATGTCCGCCCTGCTTGTTCGCATCGTGCGGGGCGCATTTCTGACACAATGCCGAGTCGGGAAGTCAACCAACGTACGGCTGAGCTAGAGTCAGGGCATTCGGAGGGCGCAGATGAACTGGTCACGTATACCAATCCTCGCCAGGCCCGTCCTTAGCCCAGGATCGAAATGCAGGCCCTCCCGGCAAAAGCACAGGATGGCGTACATACCAACACCCTGGCCCCAGGATGGGGGAGGAGGAGGAGGCGGAGGAGGAGGAGGCGGAGGAGGAGGAGGAGGAGGAGGAGGCGGAGGAGGAGGAGGAGGAGGCGGAGGAGGAGGAGGCGGAGGAGAAAGAGGAGGAGGAGGAGGAGGAGGCGGAGGAGAAAGAGGAGGAGGAGGAGGGGCCTGGCCAAAGTCGGTGCATGTGCACAGCTGGCGCCCTCCTGCGCGTGCCCTGCAAGGGCGGCGGGAAGTGGGGTGCCGGGGACGGCGGCTGGGCCGCGGGCGCGGGCGCGGGCGGCAAGGATCGGACGGGGCTGTATAGGACGAGGGTAAATCCGTTCCACCCTGAGATCCTGGCCCAGACCTCCTGGCGTCGTGAAAACATCACGACGGGAGGTTTTTCGCTGTTTTCGGCCTCTGGGGGCCCTTCCCGGGCCTCGGGACCGTCAAAAAACGACTCAGGATGCAAAACCGGCCCGGGGGAAAGGGTCCAGACCTCTGGGGGTCGACGTTCTGAAAGAATCACGACGTTGGGGGTCTGGGTTCCACCTTGAGATCCTGGCGTTGCAATTTTTTCGCAACGAGCGTCTTCGCCCCGCCTCGGGCCCCGGGACCCTCACGGGTCGATCCGGCTCGAACGGTGACGCAGAAAGGTGGAGTCCAGGGCTCCGATCGCGATTTGTTGCGGTGTTGCATCTTTTTCGCAACGTCGGATCTCAGGGTCCGTTCCAGAGCGTTCGGGAACGCTCTCAGAGCGTCCCCGAACGCTCCGAGAAGGCCGGCGCGCCCGAGACATCCTCCAGAGCCGCCAGATCTCAGAGATGATCGACATATCCCTCCCATACCCACGACGTCTTGATTTTTTCATGCCCGAGACATCCTCCAGAGCCGCCGGATCTCAGAGATTCTCGACATCTCCTCCCCAGCCCCCGACGTCACGATTTGTTCATGACGTCGACCCCCAGAGGTCTCGAACCATTCCCCAGGACCAGTCTTGCATTCCGAGTCGTTTTTCGACGGTCCCGAGGCCGAGAATAGCGAAAAACTGCCCGTCGTGTTTTTTTAACGACGCGAGGGGTGTCTGGACCAGGCGCATCGTAACAAAAGCACGCCCGGAGCCCTGGACGCCATCCTTCGGCGTCCCTTTGCATCTCGAGCCGGTTCGACCTGCGAGGGTCCCCCGAGGCCCGAGACTGGGCGAGAGAACGCCCGGCTCGAAGAGCAGTCGACGCCAGGAGCTCGAGTATGAGAGAGAGAGCGAGAGATCGGCTCGGGGAGGGTAACCTGATGTCCTCCTCCTCCTCATCCCCCCCTCCTCCTCCTCCTCCTCCTCCTCCTCCTCCTCCTCCTCCTCCTCCTCCTCCTCCTCCTCCTCCTCCTCCTCCTCCTCCTCCTCCTCCTCCTCCTCCTCGCTCGAGGCTGTCCTCGTCCTGGCGTCGTCCTGCAAAGGACTTCGCCAAGGGCGGCGGCGCCGACGCCGCGTGGGGCGCGGCGGGCCAAGGGGGCGGCGGCGCGTGGCCCTCGTCTCCGAGCGGCATGGGCGGGGGCATGGGCGGGGGCATGGGCGGGGGCATGGGCGGCATGGGCGGCGCGGCGGGCGGCATGGGCGGCATGGCAGGCGCCCCGCGGGGGCGGGCAGGGCCAGATCCCCTCGAGCCTCGCTCCTCGCGCCTCGCTCCTCCTCGCTCCTCCTCCTCGCTCCTCCTCCTCGCTCCTCCTCCTCGCTCCCCTCGCTCCTCCTCCTTCTCCTCTCTTCCTCCTCCTCCTCCCCTCCTCCTCCCCTCCTCCTCCTCCTCCTCCGCCTCCTCTCCTCCTCCTCCTCATTATCAATCCTCATCCTTCATCATCCTCATTCCTCATCCTCATCCTCATCCTCATCCTCATCCTCGTCCTCATCAGGTATTCCTCCGCCTCCTTCTCCTCCTCCTCCTCCTCCTCCTCCTCCTCTTCCTCCTCCTCCTCCTTCTCCTCGTCATCATCATCATCCTCATCATCATCACCATCATCATCATCATCAGCATCAGCATCCGCATCATCAGCATCATCATCATCAGCATCATCATCATCATCAGCATCATCATCATCATCATTATCATCATCATCATCACCACCAGCATCATCATCATCATCATCATCACCGTCATCATCATCATCATCATTATCAGCATCATCATCATCAACAGCAGCATCATCAGCATCAGCATCAGCATCATCAGAATCAGCATCAGCATCAGCATCATCATCATCATCATCATCAGCAGCAACACCATCATCACCATCATCATCACCATCATCGCCATCATCAGCATCAGCATACTCAACATCATTAGCATCATGTTCACCATGATCATCAAATTCACCATCAACATCAGTATCACAATCACCATCACCACCATCATCATCACCATCATCACCATCACCATCACCATCACCATCATCACCATCACCATCATCATGGTCATGATCAGCATCAGCACCAGCATCAGC